TATACACTCGTACATACCATGCTCGAATCTGAGCTGCGGCGTGTAGTAACACAGTCAGAGAGGTCAGTCATGAGCAGCTTATGGAAGGCAGTTGATGCAGAGGCCACCAAAAACCTAGAAGTTATATGCACGATTTTAGAATATAGACTCATGAGTTATCAACTAGGGTTTGTATGCATTCCTAATAATTATAATAATTATAATAATTCTTCACTACCCTTAAAACTAACATTCCTAAGCTGTTGACACAGTACCTCAAAAAAGCATGTATAAATTATAAATGCCCTTTAAAAGCAACACTTGCAAATCCCTTGATATAGCAATGCATCATCAGAAAAGTTCATCTATCAGCTTCTAATACCTATGAGCATGGACAATGGTGCCCCCAGCCGTGGGTCCACCTCCAGCAACCAGCACCAGGTCTGTGAAGGCAGCGCTTGTGAGAAGACAGTGGAAATCCTCACGCAATGTGCTCCCAACAGTAGAAGGATCCTGAACCTTGGGCTTGGGCGGGCAGAAAGGCACCTGGCATGAAAGGAGAAACGATTCTGTTGTCAGACTGCCGTAGAAGTAATGTGGGTTGACAAGACATTATAATATTACCATAAAGTATTAGTCAAAGAGGTATTAAAGAAAATTTACTTGACTAACACTTACAATGGTTAATTTTTCTCCTTTAGCTTTACACAAATTTTCTAAAGCTTATACAAAATCAGCAAAAGATTATCATTCATCATTTGACACATTTTGTAACACATCAGAAACCTACAAACCCCCATACCTGTAACATAGGTCGCTGGACGCGCTTGAGGTTGGTCATCCAGAAGCGCTGTTGTCTCCGGGATATGAGGGCGGCTCTAATCACATTGTCAAATATCTCATTTACCCCAAAGTAAGTAAGCACCGATGTCTCATAATATTCTACACCAATCTCACGTGCAACTGCTCTTCCTTCACATGGCATGACCAAGTCACACTCCCGGACTGGTCTATCGAGATAAAGAGATAGTTATCACTATATGCTAATTCAAATACATATGGAACATATACTGAGAATATATATATATATATATATATATATATATATATATATATATATATATATATATATATATATATATATATATATATATATTATATATATAAAAAGTTCCAAAGCTTAAAGTCCTATCAAATATCCATAAAAACATCTAAAAGCATCCAAGCACCAACAGCAACGTACCTGACGAGAGGAGACCTGTCTCGACAATAACTCAAGTACTGCTCATCTTTACAAATATATCTAAGGTCATTCTTGCAACCCACGAGGAGGATTGGAGTGTTGGGGCAGAAACGCCGGATCTCTGGGTACCACATCACCCGGCAGTTTCGCAGAGACACTGGATTTGCCACGGAGAAACATAGCAGCACCACATCTGACCTGGAGAGTGTTAGGGTGGGTCTTAGTATCATTAATCATACATGTGGATAGAAAAGTAGATATTTGGATTCATAAAAATGGAACGTGCAAAGGTGAACATCAGCAATACTTCATTCTTAACTAAAGTCGTAAATTGCTTTTAAAAACTAGAATAATGAATGTTATCATATTCATCTGAGGATAAGTGGATTAATAATCTCACACCAATAATGATGATGAATATAACAACACTAATACGAATAACAATATCAATAATGTTAAACAATAAAAAAAACAACACTAATAATAATAATAACAAAATCCAATTCATAAAATTGCATTGTTCAAAGCTTCACATGATCATAACTCCCAGACAAAGCAGCACTAACCTGCCGTAGGCAAAACGCCGGTCTTTGTCATGGTCCCCAAATGTGTCCCATAATCGTAGGGAGACATTCACACCGTCAACTACCACACAAGACCGTTCCAAAACCTGAAATCCAAGAGTGGTTATGTCCACCTATGTCTGAGCTTTAGGCTTGCTAAGAGGAAGTCTCAAAGAATCTGATCTTAAAAAAAAAAGTTACTAAAAATTGGAAAGATCAGCTTTTAAAATTATTCTAACATCATCAGTTGCCTTGATATGTTAAAGATAATGAGGAAAGAGTATTATGAAACAATATAAAATGAGAGATCATGCTAAAAAAAAAAAAAAAGAAAATGAAAAAGAAAGAAAGAAGAAAAAAAAAGAAAAGTCAGACATATCAAATTAAGCTGCCACAGGAAAGAAAGGAAAAGATCTATGAATTTTGTACAGCATTTAATAATCAAAAACAAAGAATGACAGAGAGTAAGATGGGTATATAGACAGAGACAGATTGAGAGAGACATGTGGAAAGAAAACAAGAATTTTTTTTTCCATACTCAACATTTTGAGACAAGAATCCCCAATCATATTTTCTTTCTTAATGAAAGAGAAAAGAGAGAAAGAAAGAAAAACTTTTCATATCATTTAATTGCTAAGCATCCTTTGAAATACGCAAGTTCTCATTTCTTTTTCCGTGCTTAAGCTACAAAGGCAATACATCTATCATTAAAAAGTAATGTTTCAGACATGCCTCTGATAAAACTGATAATGTACGATGGTCATTAGTGTACATTGCATATGTTACGCCCCCAAAAGAATACGAATGTGCTACATAAACACTGTTAATTATTAATCATGATATATCAAAATTGCCATTTTTTCAGTAAGTAAATGCAGGCAACTATGATCATTATTTTATTCATCTCCCCTCAAATACCTGGAAAAAGTCATAAACCCTACCCTTAGGTGATTAGCTAATGTCTACACATGACACAGGGAAGATTTAACGTACATGCACTGCTGGACAGAAAACAATTATTACCTCCTTGTATATCCTGTACTGGTCGATGGCAAAGACAGTGGGCACATGTGTGTTGAGCAGCTGTGAGAGAGAGAACTGCTTGTTGTAGGCCCGAGCGCAGATAAGGCGGGTCTTGCCCACCGCTGTGTCTCCCACAACCACACATTTCACCAGTTCCTGATGCGGCTGTTCATTATCCATGGTCCACACCCATTATCACAGGCATGCCTAAAAGGGGGAGACAAACGGAAAACGTTACTTTTGAGTTTTGGCTGTTCGGGAAATTATAATTATATCCATGCTGATGGATTGTATTTGCACTGTGATACTGATGGCAAGGATGATAAGAATCATAATAATTAACCTTCATGGTAATTTTGATAACACAGACTGCCATCATTTCTGTGTTGCTGCTTTTTGATGATGATGGTAAACTAAATGTATAACACCGAAAAGATTAACACTGTTAAGGGGAAAAAAAAAACAGTATTCTACAGTATTGATAATAACCATTAGCACTGAGGGAGATGTGTAAAGAAATTAACATAGGTAGTAGTAGGGTTATTAATAGTACCAGAAGTATTAGTTATCAGTCACTTAAAGAACGGTTGTAGCAATAGCAGTAGGCCTGAGGAATCAAAACTGTCACAGTAGTAGTGCTACGCACTACTAGTAGTATCTGCATTAGTAGTAGCTACTACAAATACTTACATAATTACCATAATTAATATGCAGTCCAGTAATGGTGGTGATAATAAGAGACCTGTTATTGCAGTTGCATTAAATAGTAATCAGGACACAAAGGTAAACAGAGTAATTGCTATATAAACAACAAAAGTAATCTGTTGTTAGTAACAGTTGTAGTAGGCCTAATCAAAGTCGCAGAAGTAATAGTAGTAGCAGTAGTGGTAAAACACAGTTGAGAGTAATTTTAAAAGCCAATGTTACAAGAGGTCTAGTAGCACCTACAATTTTAGGAGTACAATTAGTTTGTAGCAACTGCAGAAGTAGCATGGGTAGTTGTAATAACATTAGCAATACTACACTATGCTATACAAAAAAGTAATTACAACTATTGTTGTAGAAGTATGAGTGACAGTAAAAAATACAAGTGATAAAAAACAGAAATATGGATCTTTGATAAAATTAAAGCAAATGTAGAAAGAGTAACATTTGGCCTTATGGCAATAATAATTGTTGCTCTTGTTTTTATCTAATCTAATTGTATCATCGTCTATTATGTTTGCAAGAATAATTACAGTAATATTAGCACTCGCAGTTATGGCAGAATGACAAGAGTGTTAATAATAGTAACATCAGCAGACACACAAGGCCTGTTAACAATCATGGTAAGAAGAGCATCATTAATAATGATAACAATACTAAGAATGACACATCTTAACCCTAGAAATAAAAACACTTTATAACCATACTTCGCCATAAAAGAAAAAAAAATTACAATCGCAAAAAAAAAAAAAAAAAAAAAAAAAAAAATACCCCCCACAAAATAACTCAAGCTAACACAGACGAAGGTAAAAGAAACGGGGGAAAAAATGGTACTGGACAACGACATACAAAAAACGCACCGAGATCTGGGCATAAAGCGACGCGCCCGGAGATCTCAACGTCAGTCAAGCGGTTATCCCGAACGAAAACGGAAAGCCCGACACGGAACTGACCGCGCGCGAAATAAATGTGACGGAAGCGATGGTGGGAATGACATTGGGGTTAAGAACGATGTTTAATGACGTTGATAATGATGGTTGTATGAACAGTGATACATGTTACTAACAAAAAATAATACCCTTGTTATTGACAAGGGTATTACAAAACATAACTTTGCCTTCATCCTTTCCTTACTATTGCGTAACACAGTTGCCAAATCAGCGCAAAGAAAAGAAAAAAAACAGTATGATCATATACCTACCAACAACCCTTCAAAATCAACCAAAACATCGAAAATTACCCTCTAGTCTCTAAAATGTAAAATATAACACGATATCACAAGAAAATGAAAGCACAGCCGAATTCCGAAAACAAATTCCGATTCTCAGAACAGCTCGAGTGGCACCGCCCTTCAGCACAGGCACTTGGACACTGAAGCTTAGGGAGTCCTTCAGCCGCAATTGGACAGGGAAACTGGCGTTGTCTTTGCGCGAATTTCCCGCACATTATTACTGTTATCGTGGTAATTATATTTACTGTTATATCTGTTATCATTACCATCATTATTGTTATAATGATAAATATTATCATTGTTATTATCATTACTAGTCATCATGATTTTGATTATAACTGCCATTAATTATTATTATTATTATTACTACTACTACTATGACTGTCGTTATCATTATCATCGATATTATTATTATCAATGTTATTATTATCAGCGTGGTTATCATCATTATCATAATTACTATTATAGTCATTATTACTCATCATTAATCCTTATCATTATTATCATCCCCCCATTCGCTTCTTCGCCTCCTTGCTCCCCTCTCACCTGCCGTCTCTTCTCTCTCATTATCTCCCCCTTCCTTCTATTCAATGCCGTCCTTTCTGTCACTTCCCTTCTACCTCACTCAGTGTCTCCTCCTCCCCTTTCCCCTTCCAGACACATTCACATACAGGGGCGGATGGACAGACATACAGAAGCACACACAAAGGCAGACAAAGAGATAAAAAGACAGACAGACAGACACACAGCGGCAGACACACAAGACAAACCGAAAGAAAGACACTCACACTCTCTCTCACACGTAGACGCAGACGCACACACGCGCGCGCGCGCGAACAGAGGCAAACAGACAGACACATACACACAGGCTGACAGACAAACAGACGCACACACATACACGCGAACACACAGATACAGGCACATATACACACAGACTGACAGATAAACAGACAGACAGGTACAGACGCATATGGTGGCAGACAGATAAACATACAAAGACACACTGAAAGACAAGTCTCCTTACAGGGATCCGAAGGGGCATTGGGAGGACGTCCAAAGCAACTGTCAAGATGATTCAATCGACAAGAAAATATTACGCAGCCAAAGAGAGAGAGGCGGCACGTAAATGCCACGAAACCCGTACCGTCGCCCGTGGGAACTAGCCCGCGGGCATGTGGAACAAGACGCCACCAAAGCCTTCCGCCCTGAGAGTACAGGAGGCTCGTAAGCAGGCGGCTGAGTGCGAACGGTACCACTCTTTCCTCAAGCGTGTGGGATTCTCCAAGCTGGGTGCAGACCAGGTGGACGCCATCAAGAAGCGGGGAAAAAAGCTCGGGCAGGGCCTCTTCAGCCCCGCCTCCCTCGTCCGCTGGCACGGGGTCGATGCCGTGATGAAGGTGCCCGGAGGAGACATCAGCCGTTAACTCTTCGTTAAGAGTTCGACTATCTTCGATATCTCCAGGAGGCCGGTGGTGCCCCCTAGGCCTTAGGCCTGATGATCTCTTTCGAAGGGCCTCAGACTCTGTCCGTGGCTGGCCACAGAGGTGGTCTCCAAACACCGGAGTGCGCCCTGCCAGGGGCCGGAGTCACTAGCATACGATCATAAAGCATATACCAACGGTCATTTACCATTGTTTACCATTGATGCCTACTAACTCGGGTACTTGCTCTACGCTATAGCCAGCGTAATGAAGGCTCCACATCAACATTTACAATCGTAAATCGACTCATTTTAATGGTAGCCAATAGAGGGCTCTGGTAAAGCAATGCAACCAATCAGCGAGCACTATACACAATCTTTTAGGTTCCTTCGGCCAATCACGTAACATGTAAACAACTAGACAACGAGATTGTTTAAATAATCGTCACAGCTAAAACAATATTTAAGCGCATGTAAAATATATATATATATATATATATATATATATATATATATATATATATATATATATATATATATATTTATTTATTTGATTATATCCATCATGTTGGATATATATACTGTATAGATAGGAACCAATACAAACACTGTTATATTAATATATTATTGTTAACTCAAACCAGAGACAGTCCAAACAGCTTTTTGTTTATATATTTTTCATTATTGTTAAACAAAGAACCGGACCAAACAATTTTGTTTCACTTATTTATCGGTTCCATGCATTCTAGTATAATGTAAGTAGGCCTATAATTTTACGAGAATTTGTGTGGATTTTATTCTTGCTAGTTTCATGTGAAATTTGCATTTCTGCACTATGTCCGCATTGTGATATCTGTTTGCCACCATATTAGTTAAATCACGTGTAAAAACAAAACCAAAAATTTGGTTAGATACTGATTTTTTGACGAGATAATACGTGATGACATCGTCTTCCCAAAAGTTACCAGTGCTCTGACCACTGGTAAAATTTACCATGGTAACTCCAATGGCAAGTTGTTAGTGAATACCATCACTGTCTGTTTACCATGGTAACTATAGTTACCAGTGATTTTACCATCGTAAGTGCGTTAGTGAATCCGGGCCCTGGAGTCCACAAGCTTTAGGTGCTGACATATGTCAAAAGCACTGGCATCGGAAAGCAGCGGACAGATCAAAGGAAGTTTGGGGAAGGCCTGTCTAGCACCGGATTTTAAAAGCGAGATGAAAAATAGGGGGAAGCTATTTTCCATGCAGCTGGTAAGCATAAGGCGCCGACTTAAAAAAAAAAAAAAAAAAAAAAACTGGCACCGGAGGGCAGCGGACAGAACGATGTGGGAACACCAGAGATCGAGGCCGGCGGAATACCCGCTGGAAAGATGACCTCGACATGAAGCAAAGGCACCGTTATCGGAAGCCTGGAGACAGAACGAGATGGAAAAGGATGTGGAACGCCAATGTCCAATAGCGTATTTTCAAAGATTTATATATATATATATATATATATATATATATATATATATATATATTATATATATATATATATATATAATATATATATATATATATATATATATATATATATATATATATATATATATAGAGAGAGAGAGAAGAGAGAGAGAGAGAGAGAGAGAGAGAGAGATACACATGCGCACACATACATACAAAACGTGTGTGTATGTATGTATGTATGTATGTATGTATGTATGTATGTATGTATGAATATATTATATCATATATATATATATATATATATATATATATATATATATACACACACACACACACACACACACACACACACACACACACAACACACACACACACACACACACACACTATATATATATA